GATAGAGGAATAGTGTAGTTGTATAAGAAATTAAAATTCCTATAAGAATTCTTATAGGATATGATAATGGTGAAAAAATTCCTATAAGAAATAGAAATTCCTGTAGGAAGGAGTTATCTCGTAAATTATATTTATCTGTATAATTTTTATATAAGTAAAGTTCTTATACCCATGCATGTATCAGGCCATAGTGGCATAGGCTATGAATTTTTCCCACCATTTTCCAATCCTATAAGAATTCCTATAGGAATTTTTATTTCCTATAGGATTTTTTTTCACCATTTTCAAATCCTATAGGAATTTTCATTTCCTATAGGAATTCCTATAGCCATTTTCCAATCCTATAGGAATTCCTACAGGAATATTTTTTCTTATAGGAATTTTTTCACCATTTTCAATTCCTATAGGAATTCCTATAGGAATTTTCAATGCCAATAGGAATTCCTATAAGAAATTTCAATTCCTATAGGAATTCCTATAGGAATTTCCAATGCCTATAGGAATTCCTATAGGAAATTTTAATTCCTATAGGAATTCCTATAGGAATTTTCAATGCCTATAGGAATTCCTATAGGAAATTTCAATTCCTATAGGAATTCCTATAGGAATTTTTTGACCATTTTCAATTCCTATAGGAATTCCTATAGGAATTTTCAATTCCTATAGGAATTCCTATAGGAATTTTCAATTCCTATAGGAATTCCTATAGGAATTTTGATTTCCTATAGGAATTCTTATAGGAAATTTTCGTAAGGGTACAGATTAGTCACCAAGTCTATCTCAGCTTGCTGTGAGTTTTTTAAGGAGCGAAAGAAAAACTGAGATCTGAAAACGACTAGAGCAAAATGTTTAATAAGCGAAAAACCGCCGTTAAGCTGCCCGTGTTTACTCTGACGCGCAGTGCATTTTACTATATTATTCTAACAATGGAAAAGGCGATGCCTGATGCTTATTGAATATTAACAGCAAAGGATGGCCGACAGGCTGACGATTAAGTATAAAACATAAAGTTGCAAACGCACGTAACTGTTGAACAAGTTTTTCGCCAGTCCCCGGCTATCCCCGGTTTATTCACATATAGCGGCTGTTATATCCCGGGTCAATTCCCCGGTTATAAGAACATTGAGTTAATTCCACCGCCCTCCAGGGCATAGCACGTTGTTATATAGCGTTAAATCCCGGCTAATCCCCCGCTATGTCCCGGGGGTGGGGGGTCCATGATTTCAAATGACTGAAGCATTAGAGGGTCTCAACATGGAAGCAAGCCTTTCCAGGTACCCTTCGGTGGCTTGCTCGAAGCATAGTACACATACGCAATACAATCTTTAATCAATGTTATTCGATCAGCTGAGTTCAATTGACAATTGAAACTAAATTGTACTTGCATATGTGGTGTTATTTTTTAGAGTTGACCGATTGTCATTGGACAAGATCAAGCCATTTTGATACTGTCTGACTTTTCCGGTTAATTTGTTTTATGTGGGCATGTTTGATTATTTTGCTTCGGGGAGGGGATCCCATGGTACTTGATATTTTGTAATGAAATTCCTGTTAAATCCCCATCTGATCAAGTCAATGTAGGTCAGTTAGAAATTAAAATATAAATATCAAATATTTATCAACATATTTTAGCAGATCACATGACCAGCTTCTACCCGGATCTTTCCTCCACAAGGAGTACCGGTACAAGCCTGAAAACGAGGTTGCATGCATGAATGATCAGGCAGCAGTATAAGATTAGTAATTAACAATTGCAGATCCACTCTATATATAGGTGACATTTCATATTAGTAATAATCTTTATTTGTATAGGTAATCATGCGATGTCGAGTACAATTATGGATCAATAATACGAACTTGATGTTTGGAAATTTTTGCCAAAGTACTATTAATCCTTAATTGTACGAGCAACATCGCATGATTACTTGTTTATTATTAGCATGACAAAATTGGATACTTCTCAATGTCAACATCATATTCTTTTGCCAAAATCCAGTCCTGTTTCATTTGCTTACCACAACTCATATATACTAGATCATTTAGTTGACTAAATACGTTTGTATTTGAAATGTAAATCCAAGTTTAGTGTAGTAAAATAGACAAGTTTAAAAATAATAAAAATGCATATCATGAAACATTGATTTTTACAATATGATTCATACGAGACATTGCCGTATTGGCAGTTCAATGAATACAAATGGCTGGCTAAAATTTATTTCACCTGCCAAAACATCTTTGACTGGCAGGCCATATTTTTTCTCTACATTGAGCCCTGCCTGCCTTATATTCTGGGGAGGGGGGAGGGCTTATATTCGGAATGGTCTGAGCATTAGAGAATATGGTCGGCTTATGCATGCAGGGAGTTATATTCGGAGGTTTACAGTACATTCTTGAACATATCTACCTTATAGTTTGTACAATTTTTAAACCAGTCCTTTGGTTAAAGGGGCCCTACAGTCATTTTTTAGTCGAAAAGCCACCTTTAATAAGTATTGTTTACATTTTTTGTTATTGTCGCTACTTGACATGCGCACCACGGCATGCATGCGTATTCCGATGTGCGGAAGTACTCGTACTCATGGATACTGCATGTAAGATACAGCCAAACGAATCTCCGTGGAGTCCCGTACTTAAGGTGGCTTTCCATATGTACTGTATGTACTATGTACTCAGGTGAATTTATTTGACATGATGTGATTCTGAGTGTGTCCACACTGGGCAAGCTGAAAATATTGTGTGGGCAATTCTGTTTTTCTTGGTTTAAGAGCATAATTTTACTATAATTTCTATTTTTACCAAATGTTACCAAAGTACAGTACTGCCAAGAAATAACTTAACTCTTTGTCTGCCAGCATCCTGCCTCCATAGCGCCCGCGTCTTGCATCCACTCTTACCTGCGTCCTGCCTCCAGAGTACCCGCATCCGGCCTCCATGACGCTTGCGTCTGCTCTGCCTGCGTCCTGCCTCCAAAGCGCCTGCGTCCGGCCTCCAGCTAGTTAGTTCGTTTTTCCGATTATGTTACGACGCAGTTGTCGTAACATAATCGGAAAAACGAACTAATATTTGTAGACATAAACTATTGCCAACATAAACTAATATTTATAGACATAATATAAGTTTAATATCAACACATATGAACTCAGTGAGATCACGACAGTCACTACAACAAATTTCTCTCACGTTAATTTGCTACTCAATTTCTGACTTTCCTCCAGCTCCGTAGAAGATTGTTGATTAATTGATATGCAATTCTGGTGCGCGGACGTTTGGCGGACAGACACTAGACCGACAGACGTTTGACCGACAGGACCTTTCACCGACAGACATTTAGCCGACAGGACATTTGGCCGACAAGACATTTAGCCGACAGGACATTTGGCCAACAAGATATTAGGCCGACAGGACAATTCACCGACATTTCAATTATTTGAAACAACATCTTGAAATAACATTGTAAGTTTCACTTGTTTCAGGCATACAGGGTGTCCCAAAAAAAATGTCCCCTGTCATATTTGGTGGTATTACTTCGCTATATTTAATCAAAGGTTCAATTTTTTGCAGTGGGTTGAAAAACAATCATTGTTATTATATTAATCGTAGTATTTATCTCTCCAAAAGACTTAACCGTTCGGCTTCTAGAGATACTTAAGGCGGTGACACCAATTTTGCAACCCGTCCAAAATACACAAATTAGGTTAGAAATAATGCAAACTTTGTAGAAGGATTTCTAAAGTTTCTACCCACCTTTCTGCTCAAAAACAAAATTTTTTTATCTCTATTATTAAACTTTTGTTTCTTGTAGAAATTAATAAAAAAAGATGAAAAATCCCTGGCTAATTGACAAAGACAAAGCTCAGGTTGGGAAAATGTCTTAAATTTGCTGTTTTCCGTTCAATTTGTTCCATGAGCGAATGTTGGGATTTCAGCACTAATCTTTCCCCTTTTTTGGGGATTGCTTCATTTTTGCAGCAAATTAATTTGCGATTTTGGCTGCAACTAATTACACGTTTTAGAAAAGGTATGTAGCCATTTACCATTAAAATATTTTATTTCGTTCCGTAATATGTTTAAACCTAATATCCACAATTTGGACAAGTGGCAATATTGGTGTCGCCACCTTAAGTAACTCTACAGGGTGTATAAAAAAAAACTGAACAGATTTGAAATTGCTCTCAATTTCGCAAAACAGCTATTTGTATCCGGTTTTTTATATATATAGCTTCTTTGGGTACTTATAATGTAAAATAATGAAAAAAATTTCTCAAACTCAAATTTTGTGAACCAGGGGGGTGTGTCTTTTCCAACAGACTAAAAATGGCTCGCGCACAAAATTTAAAAGTTGTAATCATATTTTGAGTTAATAGATGGAAACTTTGTCGGGTTTTTAATTACTGTACAAAACTTCAGACAATTTGGTTGAGTTTAAGCCCTTTAACTATTCATTTTATTTTAAAAAATCAGCCTTTCGCATGCTTAATTAATGCGTTTACCTAATTTGCATATTGCTAACATATGCAAATTAGGCAAAGGCATTAATTAAGCATGCAAATAGCTGATTTTTAGGAAAAATATAACTTTGCGTGAATAGTTAAAGGGCTTAAACTAAACCAATTTGCCTGCAATTTTGTACAGTAATTAGAAACCCGACAAATGTTCCATCTATTAACTCAAAATATGATTACAACTTTTAAATTTTGTGCGCGAGCCATTTTTAGTTTGTTGGAAAAGACACACCCCCCTGGTTCACAAAATTTGAGTTCAAGAAATTTTTTTCATTATTCTGCATTATAAGTACCCAAAGAAGCTATATATATAAAAAACCGGATACAAATAGGTGTTTTGCGAAATTGAGAGCAATTTCAAATCTGTTCAGTTTTTTTTTATACACCCTGTAGAAGGCGAACGGTTAAATATTTTGATGCAAAAAAGTGCAACGATTAACGTAATATGTTCATTGATAAAAAAAAAGAAAAAATTTGAATATTCGATTACGTATACAGGTAACGATGTAGTACCACAAAATATGATAGGGGGCATTTTTTTGGGACACCCTGTATTTACAAGTTATGTGCAATAGCACGTGTATAGTTTAAAACGCTGTCGGCGTTTAAGTCCAAATCACTTATGGGTGACGCCAACGCGTTGATCGAAGGCATGATGCCAACCTTCTATGGAGTTATTCGTACGCGGTAAATCACGCTAAACCGTAAAACAATACCCGTACGTGTCATTAATTTAACTAATAGTCTGATTAATTTGTACTAGTCTGTTGAGTCATCTATAAGTCATCATTACCCGTGAGCATTATTTTAGAAAATAAACTTGAAATAAAAAATCTTGTCGGTGAATTGTCCTGTCGGCCTAATGTCTTGTCGGCCAAATGTCCTGTCGGCTAAATGTCTGTCGGTGAACGACGGTCGGTCAAACGTTAGCCTGCGTGGCAGGCCCTCAATTTTATGGGGGGGGGCCTGATTTGCAGCGGGCAGGATTTTGGCGGGCTCCGGGGGAGGAAAGAGGGCCTGCAGGAAAGCCCACCTTTCATGACTACACGCCGTTCAGATTCTGAACGGTGAATACGACCACCTGATTGGTCAATACCAAGACAGTGATACTTGATACTTATCAACATTCTAATTTTAACAGCTTTCTAATCTTGAACTGTTGAACTTCGTGGCTATTTTTCTTGTTCAGCAGCGATACAAAAGATGATCTCACTGGCCAGTCGTCAGGAAATAGCACAGGATACTGCAAACAATTAACGTGCATGGATGTAAATACTGATTCTGATGATGTACTATATAAAAGTAAGCTCAACATCGACGGGACGTGTGAAGGGCGTTCGTCACTGGGTGGTCCAGCCACAGACAACAAGATTTCTAATTATTTGGACTGTCTTTTTGTTTGTAGGGTTTCGCGTCACAATATTCCCATTCGGATGACCTAAAAGCACTTTTAATGATTTAAGTGACGAACGCCCTTCACAAGTTTTCAAACCGTCGATGTTGAGCATACTTAGTACATCGTCAGAATCAGTATTTACATCCATGTTGTCTGCAGTACCTGTGCTATTTCTTAATGACTGGCGAGTGAGATCATCTTTTCTATCACTGCTGAACAAGCATTTTTTACGTGCAGATTTCGATTCAGTTCTAGACATACTACCCGGAGAACATCGCGGAGAACAAACGCGATTTGATTCAGTTTGGTTGAATGGACTAGCGCCACGGTCAGCGGGTCAGGAGTTAACAGTTTACGCTTTCCTGATGTTTCTACATCTTTGGGCTGATAATGGTGTTGAAACTTCTCGTGTAGTGTATTAACTGAAGATTTTAATTCCGTTATAAGCTCACACACTTTTAGAATTTTTTTGGAAGCCAACTTTCTCACATATAATCTGAGAGCACATATTTTCGCAATATTGTTTGATTGACATGTTTACGTGCAAGCGAATATTATTTCTTTCGGGCCAGGGTTTTCCCCAATTGCTGCTGAATTTTTATTCCCTTAATTATGTTATGACTGGGGCGTGTAGTCATGAAAGGTGGGCTTTCCTGCAGGCCCTCTTTCCTCCCCCGGAGCCCGCCAAAATCCTGCCCACTGCAAATCAGGCCCCCCATAAAATTGAGGGCCTGTCACGCAGGCTACCTTCGTATAACGTTTTGGTTTAAACCCAGTATTCTTTTAATGCACGTATGGTTTTATATCTTCTTCGAAGAAACCCAACATACGTTTTGCCGGATTGACGAGTAAGCGATCGATACCTCATTTTATTTGTCTGATAGTAATACGGATCGAGTGATATTAGTCCAAGCTCTTCACTTCAGCATTAGCGAATTTTACTGCAACTTTGAAAATCAAGCGATGAGTCACAGTCATTGAACTGTGTTGAAACACAAAGACTGTTTCCTGGACATGTAAAGGTATTCATTTATCCAGAAATTATATGGTAATTATCAATTTATATGACATATCACCATGTGCATTTACTTTGTTTTGGAAAAACAACAAGAACTTGTTGCTGTAAATAAAGTTATATAATGGCTCGTAGTAATCATGGTATTTTATATGAAAAATCAAAACCACTATATATATTGTAAATGAGCGAGCATCTTCGTTTTAATATACTAACGAGTTACGGAGACATAACATTATTCAAATACAGAATTGCATATCAACTAATCGGCAATCTTCTACGAGGTAAGTCAGAATTTGAGTAGCAAATGAATGTGTTGCGAGATATATACTCGTTGTAGTCGTGATCTCCCTGAGTTTAGTATATATGTGTCTACATTATATATAGTTTATGTCTATTTTATGCTCCAATATAGTCATACACGCTTCAATCACCACTCAAGTACGTGTGATTGCATTGTGAAAGCACTACGCTTACTGTAGTATAACGTATAACATTATAAAATGGTTATACTACATGTACATAACGCTTAGGTTCAATGAGACTCATTTTCGGATTCAACTTTTTATTCTTTGCTTCGCCGATCAGTGACACTGATCTGTATTCTCACAACAAACTACGAGTATGATGCAAATATTAGTTCGTTTTTCCGATTATGTTACGACGACTGCATCCAAGTGGACACAGTTTTTAACTAGAGGCTGGACGCGGGCGCTTTGGAGGCAGGACGCGGGCAGAGAAGACGCAAGACGCGGGCGCCGTGGAGGCCGGACGCGGGCGCTCTGGAGGCAGGACGCGGGCAGAGTGGACGCAAGAGCTCTGGAGGCAGGATGCGGGCAGATGCGGGGACAAGTTATTTCTTGGCAGCACTGTAGCTATAACTGCATGCTGTTAGCAATCAATCTAAAAATTATACATTATACAACTTGATTATTTTTCAAGATGCCCATGTTTTGACAGATTGGGAACAGAGCATGCTCAACAGAAGTCAAACACAAAAATGGCAGAGTAAGGGGAAATCTCTCTGCTCTGCTCTCAGGGTGGGCTAATATGCACTGACTAGGATTCGAGTCGGTACAATTTGGTGTACTGCAGAGAAATAAGTTGACTTGACAAAATCGTCACTAAAATCCGCACATTAATTTAAGAAATTTGAACTCAACCTCACAACTAAATAATAGTGATATGAGTCGACTTGTAGCAAGACTATATCACAGAATAGATACTAGACCAGAAGTGTCACTCCTATGTGTTTTGGCTTGCCTGGAGTGCACACAGCACTTTGCACCTGTGTTTGTACCCATGAAAAACTTCTGTGTGCACTCCAGGATGGCATCATATGATGGCATATTTGGCACATCAGCACATAAAATTCCGGACAAAATATCTTCGGAGTGACACTTCTGGTCTAGTATCTATTCTGTGACTATATGTATGCATGTGTATTATTGTGTCAGATTGTTAACACATTGGGATCCTGTGTCGGACCTACAAGCTCCTATATCTACAGCTTTTGTCTGCCAGAAAACGTAAACAAGGCAAGAGGTCTATTGCAGTCTGTAGTCTAGTTTGGTTTTATGTACAAAATGAACTCTCATAAGAATCGCTAGGTGTACCTTAACAAATTGATGAATCAACTGTTTGCATGGGAAGTGGAAGGAATATTTTGACGATAGCCACTTCGCATACTATAATCATTTCAATGTACTAGACTGACAACACGTTCTATATTATAAACTTGATAGCATATCTACTGATATAGCACGACGAACGTTGATTTAAAAATCTACACTTACATTCCATGAATTCGTTTGTGTAGATGAATCGTATATTCCCTTGTGACCACTTGGTTAATGGCTGAACGGCCCTTCTTTTTATCGGTTTTCTTTGCCATTCCTGTTTCAAATTTCATTCAAAACGCAAAAATATACACATTAATATCTCTAGGATGTTTTAAGCATACGGAGAACTTGTATTTTGGTTAGGATGGAAAGGATTACATTCACCAATTTAAATTGTATACCTTATTCGAAAAGTGCAAAATATGAAAAGGACAAGAACAGGATCATTAAGGGATAATCAGGCATTCACAATGACATAGATGACAATGATATGTAAAATCAAACGATGTGAGATTTAATATCCCGGGCTGAGAATAATCATGTTCGATTAAATTGCTTCAAATTAATTTTTAATTAATTACATCAATAAACAGTGAAATGAATATAACTGGAACGCTACCTTCAGATAAACTGAGTATCTTTTTCTTCAAGGCTAAAGCCAAATCTGACCCCCAGACGGTCAAGACAACTTAGGTGCTGATTACATGGTGCCGAGCTGGCCCGGTTAACCGGGCTGACTCGTTTGTTTAGGACCTTACTGTGGTTTTAAAACTCGCGTAAAATAAATTTGCGATAAATAATTGGTGTAGTATAGATGCAAAATCATCCTAAACCCGATTTAAAACTCATTTTGCGGCCCAAGGAAGATTTTCGTGACATTTTTCAGCCCGGTTAACCGGGCTGGCCCGGTCCATGTAATGAGCCCCTTAGACACGCGTGTTCATGTCTCGCGAGACCAGTGGCGTAACAGAGGAACAGGGGGCCCTTAGGCATATTTGGTTTCGGGGCCCCTGTTGACTGTTGTCATTGTTTGACTCATGAGATATATTTTTATACTGAGTATTTATAGAATGTAGTCTGGAACATTCCATGTCTATAGCAATAACAGTCTCCAACACATGTCACAGCTAATAAGAATAACATTTGTTTTATTTGAGATGGAATAAAAAATCAGCTACCGTTGTCGATGGAGGTTTAATTCTTTAGCATTATTAATTTTGCATTTTCCCATTTATTCTTAACCTGCATTTTTAACATTTTCTAATTTTCTGGGCGATAGGCCGTGGGTGATGGGGCCCCTAACTGTCGGGGACCCTTAGTTTTGGAACTAACCCTACCCAATGAGCGCTACGCCACTGCGCGAGACCAGGGGCCGGTTGTATAAAAAAGTGATTAAAGTTAACTATAGTTAAGTGCAAACGTCATCCAATGACCAATAAGAAGCGCGTATTTGAGAGTTAATCAGTATTTAACTACAAAATAGTGATTAAAAAAGTGATTAAGAGTTTTATACAACCGGCCCCAGTCCAGGAGAGGGAACATGTATACAGTCTATACAAGATAGGAAGTTTTACCTGAATAAATTATATGTATTAATCGGAAAGCTCTGAGCGTTGTGGCCACTACCCTGGGTACCAGAGGTTCTTCCACGCCCGTAAAGGGGGATGATAGAGGATAGACGGGGTAAAATTACTGATATCTAATTTATATATATGTAATTGAGTAAATGACGTCACATGGTTACAAACAAAATGAAATATCTCAAGAACTAAGCATGGGAACAAAAATCTTCAAAACAAGTTACTATACAGTTTTAAGAGCATTCTCGTTTAAGAAAATAAAAATTTTGACGCGAGTGCCACTGTGGAATTCATGTGGCACAACATTAAAGTGGAAGTCAAGTCCGTAATGTAAACAAACGGTTTGTTTACATTTTGAACTGCTGTATTTTTTAAAATATGATGTACTGTCTGAATATCTAACACCATTTTGGTTCGCTATGCATCTAAAGGAATATGAAATAGAGTTTATGTTCAGAAAAATTCGAAACATTCGAAATGTGGGCAATGTTCACATTAGAGGGTCCTCCGATTTATGAGCAGAACGGACTTGACAGTGTGCAGACCAATCTCGTTCCCAGAGTATGCCTGTTCGCGGGTTAGGTTGTGGCTAACCCGCGAACAGGCATACTCTGGGAACGAGATTGTGTGCAGACCAGATATTTTGCAATGCAATTACTAAATAAGCATGCAAAAAATTACCAAAACGTAGAAAAAATTACTAAATTTCTGCTGTCAACCAAAGTGGTTTGAAAATCAATAAAACATCTCAGCAAAACAAAATCAGTAAAACGCTTTCCATCACTGAAACTATGTTTTTTCCATGTTTTTCTTTCTCACTTGTACTTTTTGATTGCAATTGTGCAAAATGCAAATATGGCGCCACAATGATCGGCCCGGGCCACGGGTCCCTAGCCCGCAATCAGCACAGAGTGAGTGGTGATCAGCAGGATTCCGTCGATTCAGATGGACAGCTTGGGCCAGCAGCTTACAATTTGGATGTATAGCTTTGCAGGCATGGACATGTAATTGTTCTCATTAAATTTTTGAATAACAGGTTGTGTCATTGACGTATTTGGTTGAATTTCATGAGATAACCAAAATATTACTAACTTTAAGAAAAATTACTAAAAAAATTACCAAAAATTTTCAATTACCAAAAAAGTCAGAAAAATCGTGAAATATTACCAAAAGTAATTAAAATTACCAAATCTGGTCACACTGGGACTTGACTTCCACTTTAATTAAGGCCGGTTTTCCACTGGCGGAATTTTGCGCGGAGCAGAATTTTTCTTTGTCTTGTGATCTTTCGGGTGGAACTAATTAGAAAAGGCACAGAGAAATTCCGCTCCGCGCGGAAAATTCCACCTAGTGGAAAACGGCCTTTAAGCCGGTTTCCATTATGCCGGTTTTCCACTTGCGCAATTTTTCGCGCGAAGCGAATTTTTCATTTGTCTTTGGTCTCTCAACTGGAACCATCTGGAACTAATTGGATATTTCGCTTCGCGCGAAAAAGTTCGCAAGTGGAAAACCCGCTTTAGGCGGAATTTTGCGCGCGGAGTGGAATTTTTCTTTTTCTTGTGATTTCTCGGGTGGAACTGATTAGAAAAGACAAGGAAAACATCCGCTCCGCGCGCAAAATTCCACCTAGTGGAAAACCGGCTTTATATAAGATGATTTCCACTCCGTTCTGCGCATCAGTTCTGCTCATAACAAAGAAACCCCAGATATAAACATTGCCCAAACTGATTACATCTTTCTAACTTTTTTGAATTGAAAGTAGAGTTTATATTCATTTCCAAGCATAGCGAACCAGAAAAGTGTTAGATATTCATTTTACTATATCACATTTTACAAGACCTTACAAATATAGCAGTTCAAAACGTAAGCAAAGTTCGCGCATGCGCACAGGAGTAGACATCATCTTTACATTTCAATTTTTTTCAAGTCACATACAAACGTTTAGACAAAAAAAAACAAACTCTCACCTTGTCACAGTACATTTTCATTGTATTGTTGTTTTGTTTGTGAAACAGTTGTTAATAGCGATGTACTATTAACAGGGGTGTAGGAAGCACCTGGAGTTTGGGGGGGCACCGGCTTGTAGGGGCACATTACTATCGGAAAGGGCACCTAAAAATTTTTTCCCGGAAATGTTGTCGAGGGGGGGGGGGGGGGGG